ATTCTAAAACAGATATTGATCTGCAAAACGATGTGACCAGGATCTTTAGGAAACTTAATGTAGAAAGCTCCTTCTCACTGAAATGTCTGTCGAGTAAAAACCCCTCCAAACCTGTCTTGGTAACCTTGCAAAGCAGTGAGGAAAGGGATAAAATACTGGAAAATAGGGAAAAAATGGGCAAATTGGATTCTGAAAAATGCGGTATTGCAGGGGAAAACTCAAACATTTTTATAAACTAAGATATGCCGTATGAAACAAGAATATTGTTCAACAAGGCTCGATCTCTCAAGAATCATGATTACAAGTTTGTATGGCAAAAAAATAACAAAGTTTTTTGTAGGAAGACAGAAAATTCTTCTATAATAAATATTATCAGCTTTTTTTTAATTTTTAAAAATAATGTATACTTCCTTGCTTGTTTTTATTCTTTATTTGCGACTAGTTTCAGTTATACACCATCTTCAGGCAAAAATGTCAAGTTTTAAAATATGAGTTAAAATAATAATATATTACGAACATAGTTTTAAACAATTTTTACGCTTTATAAATAATAAAAAAAAACATTTATTTATAAAGCGTAAAAATTGTTTAAAACTTCGTAATATATTATTATTTTAACTCATATTTTAAAACTTGACATTTTTGCCTGAAGATGGTGTATAACTAGGGTTGGGACAGTTGAAATTTTCAAATGAAAATTTCAACTTTGAAAGTTTCAAACTTGAAATATTTCATTTAGTTGGAAAAGTGAAATTTTTAAAAATTTCAAATGAAATTTTCAATTCGAAAATTTCAACATTGCCTGTGAAACTTTCAGAAATTTCATTGAAAGTTTCGCAATTTACTGAAAATTTCGCATAAATTTTACATGCGGCCTCCCCTGGGACCTTTAATAATAATTTACAACAGAATCCGAATCGACCAATAAGAACGAGTTATCAAGCGTCTGGGCGTTTTTGTTTAGTTCGGCTTGGATTTGAATACACTATAAGTAATTATTGTTACTTATATGCATAAATTAATTTAAATAATTTAATTCAGTTACCAATTTAATTTGTAAATTAAATCAGACTTTAAAAGTCATGATTAATTTAAACTTTTACTTTTGCTATATATGTATCGGAAAATGGATAAAAAATGCCTTTGGCTCATAACATTTTGATAAAGTTTCTTCAATTTTTGTAAAATTTCAGTAAAATATATAAAAATAATAAATATATATAAATATAAAACAATGAAAGTGGCACAATCTCATTAGCTTACCAAAAAGTGCTATATCTCTCCTAGTTTTAGTAATTTTAAAAATATTTTAAAAGGAAATCTCAAGAAATTTGTGGTAAACATTTCATATTATTGGTGCAGGGGCCCACAGAGGGGTAGGAGGTAAGAGAGGCAATTTGCCATGGTCACCGAGTGGGCTTATTTCAATATTACACTTAAAGTGATTGAAATTTATTGAAAGTTTCAATAAATTTCATAAATTTTATGAAATTTCAGACATTTAGGAAATTTTATTAAATTTCATAAATGTCGTGAAAATTTCAAGTGAAATTTCCAGTACAAGCAAAAAGTGAAATTTTCCCAACCCTATGTATAACCGAAACTAGTCGCAAATAAAAAATATAAACAAGCAAGGAAGTATACATTATTTTTAAAAATTAAAAAAAAGCTGATAATCTTTATTATAGAAGAATTTTCTGTCTTCCTACAAAAAAACTTTGTTATTTTTTTGCCATACAAACTTGTAATCATGATTCTTGAGAGATCGAGCCTTGTTGAACAATATTCTTGTTTCATACGGCATATCTTCATTTATAAAAATGTTTGAGTTTTCCCCTGCAATACCGCATTTTTCAGAATCCAATTTGCCCATTTTTTTCCTATTTTCCAGTATTTTATCCCTTTCCTCACTGCTTTGCAAGGTTACCAAGACAGGTTTGGAGGGGTTTTTACTCGACAGACATTTCAGTGAGAAGGAGCTTTCTACATTAAGTTTCCTAAAGATCCTGGTCACATCGTTTTGCAGATCAATATCTGTTTTAGAATTTAGGCCAACTATAACTAGATTTTTTTCTTTTGCAATATTATCTTCTTTTAGTATTTTAGATTTTAGCAATGCAATTTCTTTATTAACGTCAGAAAATTTTCGTTTAATTAACTCACATTCTTTGCTTAATTTTTTGTTCTCTTTTACAGTTTTTTCCAAATTGTTTTTTAGCTCTTTAATTAAATTATTGGCAAATGATAATGAGTTATCCATTTCAGTAAATTTTCTGTCAAAGTATTGTATAAGTTCTTTGTTTAAAATATTGTTTGGTTTCTTATTTCTTTTTTTTATCACAGATTCACTATCGGAGTCAGTAAATGTATGCTTTGTACTGGTTCTTGGTTTTTTAATAATTTTTCTATCCTCATCCTCTGAACTGGAAGTCTCACAGGAAGGATTATGTTGAATAGATTTGGTTTTTGTTTTATTTGACAAACAAGTATCACATGTCCACGTTATATTGTTCTTTTTTTAATTTTTTCTATGAACTTCTAAGATAGTTTACTGCATTTCTAAGATACAAAATGTCCATAGCTTTATCATACCACAAGATTTTTATTTGTTTGTAGTTACTGCGTTTCTCCATAGTAGGGCAGTATAGTACGTATACATTATAGCAGTATTTTTAGCAGTTTTTTTTTCAGATGAAATCAGCGGAATTTGATTTGATTTTGAACAACGGGGTTTGTTAATAATTTTGTACTGTTTTTTAATATAAATTTATTTTAACCGTACATCAGATCTTTTACTTATACTACAGTTTTTATAACAAGTTACGTCTGCTGACTAGGCAACCAAGTTTACCTCGGACGTGACCACACATTATACCAACACTTCTCTTCCAATTGTTGTACTGAATACATTGTTAAAAAATAAATTAATTAAAAAGTGTAACTGTTTTAATTTAACAAATTAAGAACTCAAAACTGGCGCTGTGAACTGGATTCTCATCAACTAAAATTATGAAATTTTTAGTTTGTTTCTACAATTTATGGTGAAACCGGACTCATCAACAAGAATGAAAAAAGTCACCCGTCTTAAACCTGCCAAAGGACCCATTGAAGATTCATTGGACAACTTCGAAATCTCCTGAATTTCGTCCTTTCGACCCCGAGCCAATTGGAAATGAACAACGCATTAAATTTCAGTCGTTCAGTAGTTCCTTTTGCATCCCTTTTATTATTTCCTAATTTTATTTTCATTTATTTTCATTTCATTTCATTTATTAAGTATTATTTTTTTCCTCTATTAATTTTCATGCCAATAAATCTAAACAAAATTTCAGTTTCGGAATTAAGTGATCCAGAAATAGAACAACTTATTATATTATTAGGAAATACTACTATAACCAATCCTCAAATTAATATCAACCAAGTAAATATGACAGATTGAGAAATTCCTAAAATAACTGATAAGCAACTTGAACAATTTTGTAAAGTTAAAAGTATTTATAGCGATGGTGAAGCATCTCTCAACGATTTCATAATTTCTGTGGGCAAAATTATTGATCTTTTTCAAGGCACTTTTGCAATGTGTCAAACATTAAATTGCATTTATTTAACCTCTATGTTTTAAGCAAAATTCGCGGACCACCAAAACCATTTATAACAGCCAATAAACTCGACAATTTTATTCCAAATTCTTTTCAAACTTGGCAAAATATTCTTACCGACCTTAAAAAAATTTGGTGAGCGTCGATCCGAATCTAGGTAGCATTAGACTGTTCGCTGATGACGCGTCCCTTGTGTACTTCTCAGAATCATATGATCTCTTAAAGATAGACATTGTGCAAGATTTAAAACTAATATCAAGCTGGCTTAAGTCTCATAAACTTACTTTAAATATAAAAAAATCATCTTATATGTTTATAGGTAAAAGAAAACACTTGAATAATCAACCGCTAGGTATTGAAGGTGGTGTCCTCAATTACAGTTCTTGTGTAAAGTTTCTGGGTTTGGAAATTGATGAAACCCTATCATTTTTTAACCATGTTCAAAAAGTTCGACAAAAAATTGCTGGACCCATTGGAATTCTGCACAAACTTAACTACTGCATCCCAAACAAATATTTAAGATCTGTATATTTCTCACTAATTCACTCCCATCTTCAATACCTCACGGCAGTATGGTTTCCCACTTCTAATAATGTAATAACACCCCTTAAAACCCTTCAAAACAAGGCCATAAAAAACCTGTACTCATTGCCCACGAGATACAGTACCTCAGATTTGTATAAAAATTTTAATATAATGCCAGTCGAAAATATTTATTACTTTCAGGCAACCGCCTTTATTTTTAATAATCTTAACAAAAAAAAACATTCCAATCTAACTCTTACAATACGAAATAACATACACGCTCATGATACTCGTAACAACAATTTATTAGATTTGTATCCTTTTACCTCCAATTTTGGAAAATCGTCTATCTTGTATAAAGGAGCCGATAAATATAACGAACTTGTAAAAAAGTATGATTTATTGAATATAAATGAAATAAAAAAACACTTTAGGCCAAGCTAATTTATGTATTGTGTATATGTACAGAATGTATTTGTGTTTTAATAATTAATAGGTGACAATATTTTTATTGTATTTATATGTAAACTGATGTATATTTAATTAGAGTTCCCTCTGTAAACCGCATTGTGTTTTTTGGGTTAATAAATGTATTTTATTTAAATAAATCAGTTAAATACCTACTGCTTTTTATAAAAATATAGTTTATGCTAATTTCCGACCAATTTCTTGTTTAGCAGTTCCATGCCTTTCTCCATAGTTGGTCAGTATAGCAAATATAACAAAAAAATAAAAGTAAAGTACCTGTACATCATGAATGGTAATTTGTGTGATTGTGTGTAATATTGTTACATTAAATAATTTTTAAACAAAAATAATTGATAATACTGTCCTCTCATTTTTATATATTTATATACAATATCTTTTTTATTTTAGGATATTCAAACTGCGACTAGCTTTAGATAAAGACGTATTTGCCGACGACATCATTTTTGAATCAACTAGAGGATCTATTAAATTTAATCCCAATATTGCGTATAAAGGAACATTGGAAGGTAATAAAAATAATATTTAACAAGCCTAATTATTTAGTTGTTTGGTAAAATAATATTTTACCTGTTTAAGCAGACCGTGAAACCCACCCCTTTTTATTGTTTATATATACATATGTATGTCATGTATACAGTGTGTAGATTAGGGTGGAACTTAAAAACATAGGTAGAATTTTGTATATTGAAGTGTAATAGTGAAAAGTATTTTCCTTTTTACTTTCTAAAGCATATACTATCAGAAAATTAAATCTACAACATGATTTTCCGGTGCCGCACATACGGACGAATCACCAAATTACGGCGCCAAAAATATTAAAACGGGTTATTTGCGATTATGATGATAAAATGCCTTTAAGGACTTAATTTAATCTTTATCTTAAAAAAATGCAAAGTTTTGTTATTTTCTTGATTATTTTGTGTTAATAAAAGAAAATAATTAAGGTAGACAATTTTTATGTAGAATAAAAAGGATTTTATTAGCGCTAAATAAAATTATATTCAAAACTTTAATTAAAGTTGAATTAATTTACTATACCGAGTGTTATTTTTTACCATAACCATTAATTTTCTTAAAAATGACTTTACAAAAAAAATTCTCAAAATAATAATAGGTTTAAAGAGGATATCAAAAATACTAATTAGACAAAAACCCTTAATCAAAATATTTATTTAAAATTTAATATACAATAGGTCGTAAAATATTAAACATAATAAATTGAACATATTAGCATTCACCATCTTAATTAACAACAATTACTTTCAGGTAATGCAGATTAAGAAAAGATTAAGATGATCTAATATTTTATAATTGGTTCATTACATATTAACAAAGTATAATGTTTTTTTGTATGGCTAGCTTTTTTAACACGTTCACTGTGACTTACTTGATAAAAAAAATCTCTAAAACCTATGGCTGGACTAGGCTGGAACTAAAATTTACATGCTCATATTGGTAATAAGATACGCTATATGGTAGCCAAAAATGTAGGCGGAACTCTGCGGAACTTTTTTTAAAACTCTATCTAAAGTTATACTTTTAATTTTTTTTTCGTAAAAATTCTGTTTCATAAAACATATATTATTACTTTTCCATGTATAATTTGTCTAATAACAATAATTACATATAAAAGTATATGCCATAAGCTTCCAAACACAACTAAAAAAACTTTTGATTTTACATTTAGAGTCATATAGGACAAGCATTCTCATTCTGTCAACTTTTACGCGCGAGTACTTCATAGTAGTGCGAATAAAAGGTCAACTTTGGGGTGGTGCTGAGTCTTTTGTATACAATATATATATAAAAAAATACGTTTTATTGTGGACTGGTCTATTGACAACGTGTTAATGATGTTTCTGACTAATTTTTTTAAAGTTCATTTTTCTATTTTTGGCGCGCTAATGTGGACGTTCGTCCTTATGTGTGCCGCTGAGACACCAAAAAAAACGTTTTTTTTACTTATTGGTTTTATAGTCTTTCTTTGTATTAAACACTGGCATTATATTACGGGACACTAATTTTGCCAAGATAAAACCATCTCTAGCTTCTGCTCCTGACACAGCTGCAGCAGCTTCAGTGACAATTTTCACACATCGTTCCACTGACTGAGAATGACAATGGAAACGTGGAAAATCAATAACAGGTGTCTCTCCTGTTTTAACCATGTTGTTTATTTCCTCGTTTGTCAAATTAGACAACACAGAAGGTTCCGTTAGTTGACAATAGCTCAAATCAATCAATTCTACGTAGTCAGCTGCTTTAAAGTTGATTGTAGGAACTTCGAACTGTCGAACAGTTTTGGTTTGTGGTTTGGACCTTGCCTTCATAATTCGGCTAAGACCAAGTTCTCGAATATGTCTGCGAGGGTCGGTAAGCATGGCCAGGAGGATATTTTCATGGTGCCCAAAAAATGAATTCCGCTGAAGAACTGGATCAATGATCTTTAGATGCTCCTCCTCGAGATATCTAGAATAACTTATTAACTGCCACAAGTGTTTAGATCCATCCTTGCAAGAGGGAATGTGCCATTTTTACAGGGTTTCTCTTGGCAAGGTCTGCTGGAAATACGCCGCTTGACACTGCTTGGGATATTTCATATAAGTACTTTTGATCTGTACTAAGATCTTTAAAGTCAACTTCTGGTTATTGCGTTTTAATTCTTTCATATCGTACAACCTCCATCTCCTCACAGTGTTCAAGCTGCTTTCCTATTGGGCCAACAAATCCTCTAGGACCTGTAGTAGTTCCATCTAATTGTTGAAATAAGTGTCTTAATGGGAGCTCATTGGCATGAAGTAAGCAAATTAGCCATTGTAAAGGTTTTCTTAGCCGGGATTCAAGTATTCTAATGATTCCACTTTTGCGTCCTGTGTTAACTGCAGTTCCGTCGCTTCCAATTGCCTTTAAATTTAGAGTAGCAATGTTATTGTTTCGTAGATACTCTAAAATTGCACTTGCAATTTGATTATTTTTCGATAGTTTTTCTTCCCCTTCTTTTGGTGACTCATTGTTTGGTCTTTTCGCCCGTCGAAATACAATCCTTCCAAAATTAAACTTTGTCTTCTTTCATCATCTTTCAGCTTATTTCGTCTCTTTTGTCTTTGCCTTCTGAGAGTCATCCTGTCAATAACATTTTCTTTGTTTTCATTAGAAATAAGACCCATGACTTCTAATGTAGCACTCGCTATGATGGCTGCCGCTCTGTCAGATACACCTGTTCTTTCAAATGCCAACGCAAGTGAAGGTAGATTATACCTTTTTGTTCGAGTTTTTCTTGAACCATTTGTAGCTGATGTCGGCGGTTGGTTGTTATAATCGAAATCATACTCTGAACTTGAATCATGTTTCTGGAAATACACACTTTGGTCATCATTTTCATCGCATGATGTTTCTTCTGATATCTTTTCTTCTTCACAACTTTTTACAAGACTCTTTTGTTTTCTTAAAGTCTCCGTCTCTATTCTTTGGGCTATTCGCTCATTTTTTCTTGTTCTTTCCTTATCTATTCCACTCATTGCCATCCTTCTTTCATTTCTCTGATCCATAAGAAATTCTCGTTCTTCTTTTGGAACTCGGATCGTTCTAATGCAATGACATAAGACAAAATCCTTACATTTGCAGGCACTTATGTCGAAAATTCTTTTCGCAGACTCCCGAAATTTGTTTAATTTAATTTTAATAGCAGTAAGTATTACCCTTTTTTGACTTGGTACACTTCTTCAAATTTCTACATTTATCGTGGTAGTCCTTAAGCATTTTCATAATACGGTTGTGGGAAACTACTGGAATAGAGGTTTGTTGCCAAATTTCTCTTTAAGTTTCCACAATTACTGGTGAAATTTCTGCAACAGTAGGATTACGATTCCAATTTGAAGATTTCAAGTCAATCTGAATCCACAAGTAATACTTAATTACATCCTCATAGGTAGGTAAAACACGATGGTCTTTTTTTAATGACTTTGGCTCACCAAATACAGGACATTTCACCGCACTTTTTGTTTTTGGCACTTTGGCAGCCATTATTTATAATCACAGTTCTGTGGTTATAAGTTATAAGTTATAACTTATAATCATATACACAATCACAATAGGTATAAAACTGCTTAACTTGATCAATACGTGACAGATTTAAACTGTCAGTGACAGTCTGTCACATTGGTATTATTGTCATTTTATTGTCTGGTATGCATTATTATGCAAAAAGTTATGTAAGTTATGTCTTAAAAATTATTCTCCCCATTCACTATATTTTAAATTTCAGGAGCCTAGCGGCACCGGTAAATGTTAATAAAAATTATTTAAAAAAATATGGTTGGCATTAAATTTAAAAAAGGAAAACAAATTTTGCTATTACGACAAAAATTTCAAAATTTGGGTTTTAAGTTCCACCCTAGTGTAGATACGCGTAAGTTTTCTACGTATGGGAAACTTTTTTATTATTAATTTTACAAAAAAAGTTACTTTTTATAAAAAGTTCTGCTTCCTCAAAAAAATAATAATTGACTATTAAAACTTAAAATTGCATGCACAGGGTGGTAATAAAATATGAAGTATAATTGGCGAAAGGGACAATAACCCTTATATTTTATTTTAGAGAAATATGAAATGAAGAAATGTTGCATAGAATTAAAAGTTATATCTAAGTTTGAATCCATGGCCCCCTATTATTAATTTCATAATATTAAAAAATGACTAATAAATACTTACCTTCAAATATGCAACCTAAGCTAATAATCATTTATCACGTATTTGCCCTACAAACATAATTACATTTTTTTATTTTTTCTTAACTTCTGTTTTGAAGTAATACTTGATAATAACATGATTTATTTTCCTAAATACAATATTAATTGTTTTAGTATCAAACATTCAATGAAAATCATTTAAACAAAATACTTTTTTAATAAGAGGCAAGCAAGCGCAGTAAGTATTTTTTTTTCGTAAAGTTATACACGAATCGTTAGGTCCTTCGAATACGGATGACCCAACCTCCGGCTGTGTTGGGTCATCCTTATTCGAAGGACCTAACGATTCGTGTATACAATGTATATACAATGTGTCTGCGTAAGTTCTCTACATATGGGAAACTTTTTTATTATTAACTTTACGAATATATATATATATATATATATATATACGTATAATTGGTATGTTGTTTAGCCCGAGATACTATTGGGGCGCTCTACCACCCACCATTTCTAACGTGGTTAGACGAGTATATATCTTTGCCAAGTGTTTATTAACATAATTTAATTTAGGAAATACCAAGAGGGGTAAATATATAACTTAATGTAATGATCTCTTTATTTATGGTACGTTGTAAAGCCCATAAGATATATTTAGTACGTTATTCATCCCTCGTGTATATAAAAACCAAGCATACGGTTCTTGTTTAGCCCGCAACGTTGCCGGTTTTCACCAAGCCAACGCGTACGAATTGTCCAATAAGAACATCGCTATCCACCTGTTTTGTTGCCACGCGGCGATCACGTGTCATAAATTT